AGCCTAATTCCTCTTCCTTAATATGGCCTATCAGCACCTCAAATGCACCTTCCAAGTCCCAGCCAAAGTACTTTATCCCAGGCAGACTGCCCTCCTCCCTGTATCCCCACAAATGATGCTTTCCATTTTCTCACCACAGACATTCTGCATATCCCCATGACATCAGGCCTACCCCCATCCCTGCCTTCTACAAACCAGTCAAGCCCTGACCTTCTACCCAGCTGGAACTTGATTATGTCCTTCCTTAGTACTAAGTGCTTCTAATCTTTCCTCTAATTCCTGAAGGATAAAGACCTTGTCCTGTGCCTCCTTTGTGGCTCCATAATATCCATCAGTACATGTATTGGACTCTTGGTAAGTATTCGTTAAGAAAAACACTGATTCAATCAATCCAGCCAAATCATGCAAGGTCTTCACCCATGCAGCCTGCACAAAGGACACTCTTATAGCAGGGGCAAAGTTTACAGTATGTCTAGTTCAAACAACCCCTTGGATTTGTACTGGGATTTGAAAATTTTCAAGAATTCCCAATTATTTCATGTAATTTTCACACACAAAAAAAACATGAGATAAACAAGGCAGGTTATTTTTAATCCCCAGTTTTTTTTTTTTTTTTTCAACGTTTATTTATTTTTGGGACAGAGAGAGACAGAGCATGAACGGGGGAGGAGCAGAGAGAGAGGGAGACACAGAATCGGAAACAGGCTCCAGGCTCCGAGCCATCAGCCCAGAGCCTGATGCGGGGCTCGAACTCACGGACCGCGAGATCGTGACCTGGCTGAAGTCGGACGCTTAACCGACTGCGCCACCCAGGCGCCCCTCCCCAGTTTTTATAGTTGAGAAAACAGAGGCTCCAAAAGATTGGGAGATTTGCCTAGCCAGCAAATTTGCCTAGTGGTAAACCCTGCCCCACAGACTCAATGTTGTCACAGTGTAGGGCAGAGATGCCACTCTGAAAATCTGAGAAACAGCTGAGAGAGAAGCAAGCATGTAGAGAAGTGAACTCTGGAAAACACCACTGCCATCAATTAGACTGTCGCAGGGTTTCCGGGCAGTTCAGTTCGATTTAATTGTGTTTGTTTCTCTACTACTTCCTCAGTCCTTCCTCTTCCTCTTTCTCCATGTTTTCTTATAGAAAAAGATTTTCTGTTTAATTTTAAAGCTGACAACATGTGGGTCTAAAGCATTCCTGCTTTAGGGGAAAAACACCAAAATCTCTAATCCCAACAGCATGATCATTACGATGACACAGATGTGAATACCTTCCCTGGGGCATGATGGGATAGCTGGAGCTCTAGCCCTGAGTTAGAGGACCTGGTTTATGGCCCCAGCCCTACCTCTAATCAGGCTTTGTGCAGACCACTGCCCTCGGTTCATCCACTCAGAGAAGAACCTGTTTCATACCTACGTTTGTTGTGAGGATGGAGTGAAATAGCGAATCTAAGTCTTTTGACAGCTGTACAAGCTGCACACATTTTAAATGTCAGATTCCTCACCTCAACCACTAACACCCTAATTACTAGTACTAAGGAAAATCTGCCTGTTTTGCCAAAGACTCTCCTAGGCAACCAGCGATGATCTTAGGATGCACTATTTTCTTCCATTGAAACTGGCTGTGGCATTTGTGTAGGCTGATTTCATCTTATTCAAAATATTACTGGGTAAACAGGGAGGATAATGAAGGAATGAGTGTGGGATTTAGCCCAATTCCTACAGAGGACTTGGGTCCCTGATGACATGTTCACCTTGACCCTTTCATAAGATAATCAAAGCAGAGTTGAAAAACTCTGGCTGATACAAATGCAGAAATACCGTCTAATCAAATGCCTCAGTACAAATGTAAGGGGTCACTAGTAACCAAAAGAACTACTTCCCATAAGTATATGACTCTATACAAGAGCTTCTACAGTGCTGAATGCACATCAATATGTAGGCTGAATTTAACTTTCTCCCACTCTCCACAGCCCTCCAGAGAGTTTAGATAAGACCAGTAAGAGGTGCTTTCAGATTAGGTCCGGAGTTCTCTGATGATGAGATGTCCCATGGAAATGTATTACAAATCTAACAAGGCCATTTTACTTTAGTAAATCTATAATTGGTTTTCCTTGAATACTGTTTATAATTCTAGAAGACTGACTGCTCTTTAAACCTGCCCATGATTATTCAGATAAGCTTCATGATCACTAACTTCAATAAAATTTGCTTGATAATTTTTCTTTTTATAATACATTTTAGGCTGTGTGTAGATGATGAAAGTTTACAGACATGACAATATCCTTCTAGATATTATAGTTAAAATAAATTATGGATGAAATGTGGAAATCTTAACTGTGCAAACCTGAATTGCATTTTGGAAACATATTGGATGACTCCCAAAGCTCTAGCCTTGGTTTCCCACCAGAGTTTTTGTCTGAAGGAGCAGATCTGGGGAAGATGATGAATTCTGTTTTAAATACATTGTGAGGAGGATTAAAGTAGATAAACAAAAACAAGAGCTTTCTGTGATTTAGGGGCAAACCACTTAATTTCTTTGAGCATTAGTCTCTTCATCTGTACAAAAGAAATACTTGCATTGTCTACCTCACAGGAGTATTGTGAAATGAAATGACTACATGAGAGAAAGCTTTGCAAACTCCAAATCAAATTATATATCCTTTATTATTATGTATAAAATCAACTTCTATCTATTGCTACTGCCTCAAGTGGCATGTGAAATCCTTGATATCTCTAAACTAGACTCTTCTTTTCTTTTAAAACCAGCTTCTGCTCCACATGTTCGTGTTTATGCTGATAAAACCCCCGTCATCTCAGGCATCTGATCTTAGAAACTTGGGTTGTGTTAGAAAGCTTGCCCCTTCCCCACCTACTCAGATCCATGAATGAGCCCTTCAAAATATAAAATTTCAAAAATCTTTGACACTATTCAATTGTTCTTGAAAAAGGGGTCAAAACATAAAGTTGTCTCAGAGACCCTGTCCTGCCTGGCCTTGCTCACCCTGTCACTCAGTCATATGTTCTTCTGTGTCCCTTCTGCACTCCAGCCACACAGCCTTCTTTGGTTTCTCCAAAGCACCCCCCCCCCCCTTCCCCCAGCTAGGCAGCCTTCATCCATGCTGTCCCTTAGCTGGAACCACCAGCCCCAGCCATCCTCAGTCATCATCTCCAGCTCCATGTCCTCTGCAAAGCCACCCTGCACTTCCTGCTATTGCTCAAGTTCTAGTGTAATGGGGGTGCACAGAAACATATCCTTTTCTTGGGATCACTTATTATCTTTTGAAAGGATGTGTTACATGATCAGTGTAACACAGTGTAACACAGAATCAGAGCAGTGATTCTGTTCTTACTCCTACATTGCAAACTCAAGGCCTAGCACATAATGGGTACTTTTTAAAAGAATGAGTAAATCAGTCAATCTTGAGATCTTCTCTCACTGTGTGTTTGTGTGTGTGTATGCATGTGTGTGTGTGTGTGTGTGTGTGTGTGTGTATTACATATGTGTGTGTATAAAAATAACAGCCATGGTATTTACTTTAACTTCTATTTTAATCTTTTGTCCTACTTTTGAAAATGTTTTTTTCTAGGACAGTATTATGATTCAATCACAAAGGTAAGCATGCTTACTTAATGCTCTTGAAGGAGGTTTTTTTTGTTGTTGCTATTGTTGTTCTTCATTTTAGGGGTGCTAGAAAGGGAATATGCTGTTTGCAGGTAGATTGGTATTAAATGTGAAGTGCAAAGCAGGCCTGGAAGAGCTTGAATATTTCACTGTAGATGTGAGGAGAGGACCCAGGGATGACCCTGGGATATAAACCCAATTTTAGAATTTTATACCCCTAAATATTTTGAGCCTCATATTTATAGGCGTTTTTAAAGTTTCTTCACCTTCCTCATATTAATAAGACAATCAAGCACAAGAGTTAAGGAATGACCTAGGGGTCCTGCAGACCTCTGTTTGAATCCCGGTTCAGTCTTATCAACTATGGGACCTCGGGCAGATTGAATAGCCATATCTAACCTCAGTTTCCTCACCTGTAAAATGGACAAATACAGAAACAGTTCCCAGGTCATAATGTCATTCTGAGGATTAAATGAGATGCTCAGCAGTGTGCTTTGTCACCATGTGGCACCCAGCAGAGGGGATCTGTCATGAGTGACAGCTCAAAGAGGTCAAGAACACACAAAACTAGTGTCCTAGAACTGGGGACCTGATCAGAAGTCAAACAATTGTAGATCCCTTGTTAATTCTCAGTTTAATTAAATTCCTGGCAGAAGAAGGTACTTCATAATATCATTTTATTGTTCTTCCAAACTATAACCTAAGTAGCAAATGATGTCTGAGCTTTTTGAACCCACTGAGACACAAGAGAATTCAGAACAATTCTGATTATAAAATTCTGTTGAGGAAATAGCAGTCCCCACAGTCACAAGCAGAACCTGGGAAGCCAGTGAGGCACTGAGGTGTAGTCCTCCACCAAAAGGGGAAGACTTGATAGAGAATAATCTACATCACAAATGTGCCAGCGTTCTAGGACTGGAATCAGTCAGCCACAGCCTGTATGCCAGACCTGGCGCTGTTAGGTAAGTAAGGTTTTACTGGAACAGAGCCACATCTATTATATTATATACAGTTGTGACGGAGACCGTACGGTCCACAAGCCTCAAGTATCTACCATCTGACCCTTCACACACAAAAAAGTTGCCAATCCCCGTTATAGAAGACATATAATAGGGAAAAAATAAACCCCCAAAATACCTTAAAATGCAAAATTTTATTCCTAGAGTTCCTTCTTCACAACTTCAGTCCATGAAAAAGGGGTGCTTTACCTTTGTTGTGAAATAGCAGGAGAGTCAAATTGAACATCAGGGCCTTCCAGTTGGGAGGGATTTTTCCCAGAAAAGTCTGAGAGCCTGATGTTCAACTACATTCATCTCAGTGGCCCCAATATCTTTCACTTCCCTGGTTATGAAATTCTGCATGTTTACAGATATGAAAGACTCACTGGAATTTTCTCTTCTTCAAGGGGTGGTGCCAGTCTAGAGCCTTTCCCCAGCTCCTCCTCTTCTGCTGCTTTCTTACAGATATTCTGAGACTCCAGGGTATCTGGTGCTTGCAGATCATAGTACTGTGATCTCGTTTTCAAGCTATTGGCAAAGTCTTTGGACTGAGTCTTTCTGAAGAGAAACAAATGTGGAATTATCAAAAACACTCTCCAACATGGATAGCTTTTCCAAAGCAGATGCCTACATTCAAATTATGTGAAAAACAGTAATAGATACCATTTACCGAGTGAATAGGCTGAGCCCTTTGCTAGTATTTTAAAGACATTAACTTAATCCTCATAACAGCCCTCAAGAAAGGGGTTGTTATCCTTGCTTAACTCAAAATGGCTCAAAATAATTATTTTATTTATCCAAGGCTACATAGTGGCACAGGCAGGATTTGAACCCGGGTCTGCCCAATTCCTGTTCAGAAGCTAAACTGCTAGAGCACACTGCCTTCCTCTGATAAGCAGCAAATAATTAGTTTATCTCTGCATGCTCATTTATACGTTAGTTACAGGAGCTGCGGGTAGCATCACCAGCCCTTGGGAACTGAACTGAGGTCTGTATGTCTGCTTCTATCTCATCAAGGGATAACAGGCTTCACAGAAGTCACCCTGGGCACCCTGCAGAGGGGATCAATCATCTGCCTCACTGCTACCACTCAAGTTACCTTCCTAGATCTCCAGCTGATCATGTCTCTTCCTGATTCAAAAACTGCCACCATCCACAGGATAAGGTCCAAAGTCCTAAATCTGGCTTTCAAAGCACTTTAGCACATGGCCCTGTCTCCCGCTATTTGCCCACATATACCCCAAACACTCAGAAGAACTCATCATCACCCAAAGAACCTTACATATTCAAGACTAAGGATCTTGATTATGCCCTCTGCCTGCAGTCTCCTTCCTGACATTCTGCACTGAAAAACTCTACTTATCTTTTAAGGTTCAATTCAGATTTCACCTCTTTTGTGGGTAGGAATCATAGGTCCAGTTAATGCTTTGTTAATAACTTACTTATAGCACATATCACAACCTATATCAGCTGAAGTTAGTGGTGTACCTGTTTCTCCTCCTAGACTGGAAGCTCCTTGTTCATTTTTGAATCCCCACCACCTAGCACAGGCCCTAAAAGGCCTGCTTACTCAGCTACCTATATCTAAGCAATCTTGTTTGAAGTCCTGAAGCTTGAACTGTCACTGCATTTCTTATTTCTATTCCTGATGCTCAGCTGTGTCAGCCTTTGGTGCTCCAGCATGGTTCTAGTGAAGCCAGTGATTCCTGGGGAAACCACATCCAGATCAAACCCGGGGTGACAAGCAAGGAAATGAAACAGCTGATTTGATCACATTGTGGGAATAAAGGGAACCACCAAAAGTCTAAAGAAACTTGCCCGACAGATCTAAAGTTACTCTTGTGACTCTGCCCACCCCACTCTCCCTCCAGCTACTGTGAAGAAGAGGCATCTTTGCATGACTGTATAATCTGGCCAGCCTCTCAGTGGTTTGTAGATCTCATACCTGAGCTCTTCCGCTTCCTGCTCTGCTTTCAGCTGGGCCCTCTCAGCAATAATTTCATTACAGAGAACATCGTAGGGTTTATCTAGATGGTGTTCACCCATCACCCAGACCCAGACTTCCTTATCGGCTCCCAGTTTCCAATGAACAGATTTGCCATTCTCTGCAAGTAAAACAAAATTTAGATTGGACAAATATCTTTAGTCACGGGTTATTATGTTTGCCATCATTAAAGTATTGCGTCTTCAGGAAAAAAGCTATTGGATGAGACAAAGTGCTTCCAATCTGCTCAGGAACCAGCAGCATTCCCAGGGAGCAATGGAGGTGGTAGCAGTGGGTGGCGGCTGTAGCAGAATATGGGAATATGGTTTTTGAATGTGCCCATTTAATAAGTAAAGAAGGTGATATGGGAAGAAGCCATGTATTATTTACATTACCTTCAGGGGAACAGAGCTAACATCAGATATCAGAACCTCTCAAGTCTGAGAGTCTCCTGGAACCCCAGAATGACACAGCTGCTCCAAGGTTTGGTATTTTCATTTTAGAATTAGTCTGGCTTTAATTGAACTCTTAGCCCTGCCACTTCCTAGCTGTGTGCCTTGGACAAATTATTTAGTCTCTCTAAGCCTCAATCTCCTCATCTGCAAAATGGGGGTAGAAGCATCTAGGACACAGGATTGCTGTGGGGAGCAGGCAGGCTAGATATGCCACGTATTCCCCCTAGTGCCCAACACACAGCAGGAGTTCATGAGAGGTCAAGTGCTCTGGTCACCCTCCTATTGTTTATTTACGTGGCTGCTCAGAGATTCACACCAGCGTGTGAGAAGATAACACTACCGGTAGTGTGATACTTGGTGAAGCTACTTAAATAACACTTGTTTACAATGGGTCGCAGGGGTTGTATTACATTCTAGTTCCCGTACTCCTGAGATGCAGCCACACAGGTCATGCTCCCTGAAACCTGGGGAAAGTGAAGCACACCTGGCAGAGGCCAAGAGGTGCAGTCCCTAAATCTAAAAGCTCCAGAGCAGACCTACCCAGGGCCATTATGAGCCATGTTATGGGTCAAGATCCCTGTGCCCCAAGGACCCTAAACTGGCCAGTGGTGTTGAGCATGGGTAGTAGGGCACCTGATGGAACACAGGCCAGGCCATGCTTATAGGTTAGAAACCCACACTGGGATTGCGTCTCGTCTCTGTACATTATGTGAAGGTTTCCAGTTAAAGTATCTGCTGTCCAATGAATTGTTGATCTACTTCCTACTGTTTCCCCAGGATACATTGAAAAAGTGGGCTATTCAAACAGAGATATGTTTTTATTTTGGCACTTTCTACCCTTCTGAGTGCAATGGAGACATTCTACAGTATAATAAAATTCTAAATAGGATCCTGGGGTGGAGGGGAGGGGAGACAGAATCTTCACTATAAAAGGAGTCAAATGTAGCATTTAGGAGGAAGCTGACTTTGCACTGTTTTCACAAGTGGAGAAACAGTGAAAGTGGCAAGTAGGTCTGAAGGGAAGATCAATCCCAAGTGGGCCTTCATGGGGATGGGCCCTGGCCAGCTCTGGCTCTGTGTGAGGAAATGCCAAATGGTTCAGTAACTTTAGAAAGCTGTCATACCTCATGAAATTCGCTTTATTAGGCTCTCTCGGGGCAACTAATAACATTTTTTACTTTGTCCATCTCTCAACCTTCACCTAAATAATTACCAATATTTTTGACAGCAGGAGACAGATGCCCTGAGAGGAGTGTGGCAGAGGGCCAGGGGAGGCAGACAGGAAGGATACAGGGATTCCAGCAGCTATGCTCAGGACAGCAGGACACATTCCCCGAGAGCACCCTCCATGGGCTGCAGGCAGAACTCTTATGGGAAGAAGGTGTTGCCCTGCAGGGCTGGGTGGGGGACAGATCCAAGAACTGCCTGTGGGCACATGAAGGTGCTTAGAACTATAAGTAGAGAAGGCAGCTAGAGGAGAGGGCGAGAGCCCTGAAATTTTAGAAGCAAGGCAGTGGCGAGAGCATGGTGACGGTAAAGAGATTGCGGCTTGGAGGCAAGAAAAAAGAGAATTGTCAGATTTAGCCAGATGCCAAAAGAGGGCTCTTGACAGAATGGCACTGACAATAATATCTGTTCTGAGTCCTCCTCACCCTCAGGAGCTCTTAAATGTTGCCTGAGAGCAGAGACTGGAGGGGCTTCAAGGGCTTCCCCACGACTCCCTAACCTTAGGGGAGAATGGAGAAGATTCTAGTAAAACCAATGTTAGCTCTGATACCCTCAGTTTTTTGTTTTTTTATAAATGTTTATTCATTTTTGAGAGAGAAAGAGAGAGCACACGCATGTGAGTGGGAGAGGGGCAGAGAGAAAAGTGGACAGAGGATCCTAAGCAGGCTCTGTGCTGACAGCAGGGAACCCCATGTGGGGCTCAAACTTAAGAACTGTGAGAACTCATGAATGTGAGATCGTGACCTGAGCTGAAGTTAGACACTCAACCGAATAATCCACCCAGGCACCCCTGATACCCTCAGTCTTATACCAAGATGCAGGAAGACTATTAAGGACTCTGTTTAGTGTATTTTATAAAAACTTATTGAGTTTCTAAGTCTGAGCACAATGCAGATGAGCTAAATGCTGCGGGGGACACAGGGAAAACACAGATGTGGCCATTTGTCCTGCAATTCACCTAAAGTCTGAGAGAAATAGCAATGCATTAGGTTACTTATTTAATGCATTTTATTGCATATCTACTATGTGCCAGGCACTTAGGTAAATATGTGTAAACACTTATGAACAAGACAGACCAACCCCTGCCCTCAGGGAACTTAGATTCTAGTTGGAGACAGAAGTTGAACATTTAATTATAAAAGTAATACAACTTGGGGAAGGGGTTGTGAAAGGATGCTATGGAAATGCTTCAAAAGAGGAACTGATCTGTTTGAAGGACCAGGGGAACATACATTGTAACCACAAGAGACTTTAAGTCTGGTGAGGATTCACAGGATGGAGAAATTGCTTTGGAAGCAGGAAGGAAAGAGAAGTTCTGTGAATTGAGTTTTGGTGGATGAACATGGAACTTAGAGAGTAGGGTGTAAATTTGGTGACCTCCACAAAGATAGTGCGATGGAAGATCAGAGAAGGAAATCAGTGAAGAGCTATCGGGAATCAGTGTCTCAGTGAGAGCTCAAAAGAGTTTTAGATATCACCTGGTCATGGGCTGAGGATCATGCAGGGGGCCAGTGGGCCACGTGGCATGACTCCCAGACACCTGGCTAAATGATTTAAACTTAGGCCCTGTAGTGCATAAAGCCAGAAAGTGGTAGTAAAGTCCCAATGTTTCTACCAACTCTTTATGTGACCGTGTATATGTTATTCTACCTCTCTGAGCCCGAGTTCCCTCCCTGATAAAACAGAGGTAGTAAGTCAGACCTCACAGGCCTGTCACATGATAAAGGCTCAAAAATATTAGTTCCATGTTCTTGATTAAGTGATCAACAAAGAGTCCATGACTTTCTCTGTGCAGGTGGTGCTAAGGTCAGAGAAATGACTTAGGAAATGTAATAACACGTAGGGTAGATCAGGGTAGTGGAGGTGGGTGGTTCAGTGGGTTAGTGGGGACAGAATGGAGGAGCAATGAGGTACCAGGAGGCAGGTACTCAGGGCCTGAATGAGAGAAAGGTCAGTAAGTTACAGGTGGCTGAAAAGGAAGGACTCAAAGATGACGCCAACATTTTGAGACTTACTATCTGGGAGTATAGAGGAGTAATAAGCGGAAACAGTGACAGCAAGAAAATAAATTTGTTTAAAAATAAATAAATGAATTTGTTTGAAGAGTCAGGTAATGAGCTATTTTGGAAATGTAGAATAAATTATTTTTATCTTTACTAACAATCTACATGGAGAGCATCAGTAGATATCTGAACTATGGCACTGGAGTTCAGAAATGCTACCGAGACTGATAGTGTGAATTTGAAAGTTACTTTATAGCTGACCCCACTGAAGCCACTGGCATAGAAGAATCTGCAAAAGGCATGAAGCCTAGTGAGAACCTTGGAAAAGCATGTGCTCCATTTGGGAGGCAAAAGGGAAGAAAAAGAGCATTCTGATTAAAAGAGAAAAAAAAAAAGGACTTCTGATTCCTAAATAATGACATAATATAGAAGGAGCCTAGGGAGAAATGCACGGCTATACAGCCAAGAGAGGAAAAGGGAGCCAGTGCTCTGTGCCATGGAGACACAGAAAGGGGGATGGAGACCCTGGAGGGAGGGCAGTCTCAGGTAGTGTCTGACCTCAGAGTGTATTTTTAGGCAGACAGGCTGGGGACAGGCTACAAAAACAGGACAAAAAGGATGGGAAAAGGTGGAGGCTGGCAGTAACTATGTGCTCTGAGGAAGTAAAAGAGGATTCAGTTCTCTGTTCAACAAATACTTCCTGAGCATCTGCTATGTTCCAGGCACTGTGACAGAAAGGGCAGCTTAGGAGCATGGATGGTTGAAAGATTTCTTTCAATAGAAGAAACTCAGGGTTTAGGGAAGGGAGAAAGTAAGGATGCCACGGAGCAGGCCAGGGGAAGGAGGGCTAGAGGAGCGTGCAGAGAACAGGTAAAGAAAAAAATGTTGACAAGAAGAGGAGAAGAGCGCCTGTCTGCTAGGAGCTGAAAACTGATCCACACAGACCCACATTTCTGTCCCCAGTGGACTTCCTTAAGACAGAGGTATAAACTTAAGAGATCCTAATGAGGCAGGCCCTACATCTTGTTATAATTTAATGCTATCCATGCATTCTGGACTTTCTGTCTACTTCACCTTGAAATTATATGCACTGTTTTGTCAGAGGACAGTGTGAAAGGGACCTTTTCATAGCACTTCCTTTTAATTATAAGGTTTATTCCCAGTCCTTGAATCATGTTTGTACCCTGCAGCGCTCTTCATGCCTGCTATCTTAGGGATTCTCAAGAACTTCTAAAACCAACTCTTCTAGAACAGTGGATTAGTCCTGCTTAGGACTGCACCACAACGAACTGTTGTGCAGACTCTCATCCATACCTCATTCACCATATAAAGTCTCTAACTAGGCAATGTTGTAAAATACCACGTAAAAATGGAGTGACACATGCCCTTGGCAAGGAAATGGCCAGGCTTATTCCAGGCCTACATTAGTGCATGAC